CAGGTCTGCTTGTAGTTGTTCCCTGCCCTCTGGCGTGTCCACTTCTCCCCATAGCTTTGTGTCATCTGCAAACTTGGACAGAGTACACTTCACTCCCTCGTCCAAGTCGCTGACGAAGACATTAAAGAGTATTGGTCCAAGGACCGAGCCCTGCGGGACCCCACTGCCCACACCCTTCCAGGTCGATACCGACCCATCCACCATGATTCTCTGGGTGCGACCCTCCAGCCAATTCGCCACCCAGCGGACTGTGTAGTCATCCAAGTCACAGCCTCTTAACTTGTTCACCAGTATGGGGTGGGATACCGTATCGAAGGCCTTCCTGAAGTCTAAGTATACGACATCCACCCCTCCTCCTGTGTCCAGGCGTTTCGTAACCTGGTCATAAAAAGAGACTAGATTAGTCAGGCACGATCTGCCTGCTACAAACCCGTGCTGGTTTCCCCTCAGCATAATTTGAGGGGCCTAGTGCTCCATCCCTTACTCTTTTATATCCTGCCTTGCGGCACCCGTAGGGGGTACATGGAGAAATGATACAGGGTGGCTTCACAGTCCTTCAGGAGACTCCATGCAAAGCTTGACTAGGCCAGTACGAAGAAGCTATTTGAGAGGAAGAACTTCACGCTGCCGGGCTGTGATTTCTCATCATTTTTATATCAGAGTGCCTCCTTTAACTTCCATGGACTTGCCCCTGTTCACAGTGGCATGAGCAGAATTGGGCCCTCCTCTCCTCTGATCCTGTTGCTCAAAAATATTCTGTACACAGACAGTCTATATAGCAGGAACGCACAGGGTATAGAAGTATCTCTCTTGCCCACGCAGAGCAACTTTGCATAAAGCCTAATTGCTCTGGTTTTGCGAGGGGTGTGGGAATTCATCATTATTCTTATGGCAGTGGTACATTTGGGTTTCCACTTCAGCTGATCTGGTCCCAAAGGCTGGTTCTAGTGAGGAGCTTTTTAAGCTGTATTATTACTTATTTAGCGAACTCAATTGCTTGCTGTGATAATACATTTATTGAGTGTGCATAAAAGGAATAATGGATTTATTCTTTCTGGGCAAATGACTTAAGGAAATTGCTGTCTGCGCAGTATATGCGAAGCCCACAGGAATTCCCAGCAAACTAGCTGTTGCATCTCAATTGGACTGTCATGCAGAAGGCGAGGCTGGAGGCTGGAGAGGATGGGTAGTGAGGCAGAACAAACACTCCAGTGAGTTTGGTGGCTTCACAAAGTGTTTTGGGAAATTCTCTTCTGTTGTGGGCAACTGTCAATTTTGTGATGCTGGGCAGATTTTGCAATGCTAATGCTTCAAATAACCCAACCAGAGAGAGATGAAGATGCTCTCTGCTGAGATGTTTTATTAATAGGATTTGCTTCTTCCTGTCGAATACAAAAACCCCATCTCGGGAAGGCCACAGCATGTGATGCACCTGAAAAATCAACACAGTGCCAGGAGGCTTTTATTGCTCAGATGTGATAATAGTTGCAATTCATTCCTGAATAGTCTCCAGTTAACTGGAGGGTAACGTCTGAGTGTTTAGTTTTTGTATGAGATGCCCAAAGGACTGTTTTGACTTCATTCTCTTGCAAAACCGAATCATGCCAATAAAGCTGGTGAAATTGTGTCCTTGACTTAGCAGAAGGAATATCTCTGAATTCCTGGGAAGTTTCTGCCTTTGTAAATGACATATCTTCTAGTGATTTCCACAACGTCTTTCAGTTTTACTATACAAACAAATGCAGTATTCTGCTGAAATGGGCTCAGACTCTGGGGCTGCATTTACAGAGATATGTTGGTACAAAATAGCACCTACGAAGGTTTGCAACAGTGCCTAAATAGGTGTAGCGCATAATTTTGCTTGGCATCAAGGCAGTTAGGTGCCTCACCTGTGCAGACATACAAAAAACTAGAACTCTTTGTTCCAAAATGATACCTTTTATTAGACCAACTGGAAAATGGCAAGAAAATTGTCCTTTTCTGCAGGCTTTTGGGAACAGAAGTCTCTTTGGCAGGCTCTGGGAAAAGTGTAGATGGTACAAGATGGTAAAAAGTCCCCATAGGTCGGAAATAAACTTCATTTTTGCGCAGAGGGAGCTGAAGATGGAAGTCTGTCCCTCTGGGTCCATGAGAGTGTCTTTGTGAGCTGTGTTGAGTAGCTCTTTGATGTGTTGATCAGGTAGAAGTCCTTCCCTGAAGGTGTCAGATGGTAGGTAGGGAGGCAAAAAGAACTTCCTTGTTGTTCTGCAGTGAAGTTTAAAATCCAAAATCACCTGTGCAGATGCACTTGCATGTAGGTGCTACTTGGATTTACACATCTGTGCATGTCCTACCTTTTGCAAAACTAGCCCTGCAGGTAGTAGTGTTGCTAGAGTGTCTTGGGCAATTACTGTAGTATTTAACTGGCACAGTCAGATGCTGGGATCATGAAACCACTCACCAAACCACTGTTCGTCCAAATGTTGGGGGTTGGGTGGAAAGAACAGGTTCAGTCAGTGCTTTAATGTTATTCATGTATGTAGCCCCTCTTATTCCTTTATTGCTTCTTTGAGACCAGGCTTTGGATTTAGCAGCCCATGGATTTCCCCCCTGCAGTGATTCATGGTGCAATTGTTTGTCTCTTTTCTCTTTTTTCCACAGGGCGTGCTGGACAGGTTCTCTCAAATTCAGCCCAAGCTGATCTTCTCGGTTGAAGCTGTCATTTACAATGGCAAAGAGCATAACCACATGGAGAAACTACAGAGCGTGGTAAAAGGTATTTCACTACATCACACGTGAACTCTCGCAGAGCTTGTTAGAAACCTCAAGGGTAAAACAAGAGGAAATAGAATCCAGATTAGGCAAAATTACTTAACCCTGAAGATCACAGTCCACTCGAGACCTAAGTACCCCACATAGAGGGATTCCTGCAGCATTTGGGGGCGCAGGCTTGGAGCCCAGCGTAGAGCTGGCCTCTGGTTCCTTCCGCATTTTCCTGGACTTATGCAAAGAAGGAGAAGGGAACTCGTTATGGGAGGAACATGTTATATGTGTTTATATTGGCCAGGCAGGTGAATAGATATGTTCATTTGGCCCAAATCCACTCTTGCGTATACCCAGGAAACCTGAGGCTGTCTGGGGTTGTGTGGGCTCACCTGACAGCAAAACATGGCCTGCTGGAGAGATTATGATCCAGCACTTGATTATATGAAGTTGGCACAGTTTGGCAATGTTCCATGGAGAAGCAGATAGATGGGAGAAGAGAAAAGAAAAGATTGAACTATTTCCATTACCCGGGGCATGACATTACACAGGCCCACCAAGCAGAAAAGGGTTTTTGTTTATAAAACTGAAATGAAATGAATAGCAATTTTCATACTTTGCTTCTCCCTCCTCCTTCCTCCCAGGACTTCCCGATTTAAAAAAAGTGGTGGTGATTCCGTACGTCTCCGCAAGGGAAATGATTGATATTTCTAAAATTCCTAACAGGTAATCGCATGAAGCAAATGTCTTTGAACAACTGTTGCCCCTGTTTAAAATAGGGACTGGATGGAACCAGAAGCCTGGCAAGACTTTTCCAACTTCTGTCGCCGTGACTTCTGCCCCACGTCATCTCGGCTCTGAACACTTGTGTTGCAGGTTGCTTTCTGCCGCGGCAGCGTAAGGGTCCCCGTTGGGTTCCTGAAACCTGCTTGTACAGTGCCTAGCATAAGCAGAGTTGTCCCCTCTCCCATGAGTGTTGGCATGAAGGAAGTGTGTCCATACTTCACAATACACTGTGAGATATTATCCCCTTAAATCTATGGGATAACCTTGTTAGGTTTCTGTCAACATACAAATCATGTTTTATGGCTTGATTTGTTTTTTTTCTGGTAGCTTTTCAGTTGACTAAACCTGCAAGAAGCTTAGAAATCTAATCTTTCATTTAGTTTTCTGTATTTAGGTCATAGCTTAGGTTGTGCTCATCCATTTCTTATGCAAATAATTTTGAATGGTTCAGCTCCTGTTCCCGTCAACACATCTGCAACTCAGATGAATTGGTAGATTCATGCTAAAGGTGTAAGTGGAAGCAGAATTTGTGCCCTTGCCTCTACTGGAGCTGTTAATGCGGATGGTTGGCAGGATCATGTTAAATTTTGATTGAAAGGAAGTCCCTGCTCTGTTTAGTCAGTTGTACCTTTTTGTTTCCTCCTGTGCCAACATTATGTTTGGGCCATTTAATTTGCAACATTGTTTGGGGAGCTATATTGCTTTAGTTTAAAGAAATGAAACCCCGATTGTCTGTTCAGCAGAGCTGAACCTGTAGTAGAGCACCAAGGGAGTAAAAGTGTGTAGAGTCCTTTGTGGGGACACAAATAAACTCTTGTATCATGCGTACATTGTACCGTTGTACTTCAGTAAGCTCTTGTACTGTGCTTACTTTAGGGGAAACCCCACTATTGAGATGCATGAAGTTAAATGAGCAAGCCACTGAACTGCTTTCTTTAATTACAATGCTTCTTATCTCTCTGTTTGTATTGACACAGCGAGTAGTTCTGCAAAGAGATGGAATTAGTTTGCTTTTAAACTAATTTACCTGTAATTTCAACTTGTCAGCACTGGATTTATAACTACTCTGTGCGTCTGTCTTCCCCTCTTTCCTTTCCCCTGAAATAGGCGACGGTATCTTTTTCTCATATATCGCCTTCGCTCTGAGCAACAGTAATTGATATAAAATAGGAGCATCTAGTAAAATTACATTATCCACTTCATTTAGCTTTATACCGTAAAACAAGCTGCCTCCATTAAACAGCTTGGATTTTGCTCCCCATTGCTGTTCATTTTTTTTTTTTGACTGCTGGATACTACAGATAAACATAAAAAAAAGCCCACCAAGCTTTTCATTTTTATAAAAGCAGTGAAATGGCAGCTATTTAGCTGGATTTATTGATCATCTTAAGGAAAATGTTTGCTCTGTGTGAAATATCCTATTAGGCAGGGTGTTTATATAAATGTGATAGTGTATATTGGGGAAAGGGAAGCAAGCTTCAAAATTGAGCAATGAATAATTTAAATGACATTTTTAGAAGTAATTTGTTTTGCTTATTTACTGTTCTGGGTTAGGTTACTTGGATCCCTCTCTCAACTGATTACAGTTCCAAACCACGCATCGAGGGCCAAATTCTTTGTCACCCCAAAAGAGCTCCAGTGACATTGAAACTGCAGCCACAGCTACCTTCACAACTGTGTCAAGGGGTTCCCCATTACAGCATACCTGTCCCCTGACACTCTTCTGGAGTGCACTGTAGGTAGGGCCTTAGCCCTTTTGTCTGCATGGCACACCGGGACTCCAACTGTTAGGACCAGAGGATGAAAAGAGGACTTGGCCTTCAGACCCGCAAGCACTTGGACTCCACGTCACCCCCTGTAGACCGAGATGTTCTGAAGCTGGTGCATCTGTCATGGGTGCAGTCACTGAGTCAGGCTCCCCTTGGCTGACTTGCTCTCTGTTTGGGGCTTTTTAACTCTTAGATGGACTTCACGTGCAGAAGAGTACACTTGTTCTCCTGGGGAAACCTTTTCTGGCTTGTTATGCTGGTTTGTTGACACTTAAAAAATTGCCTAAAGCTGAACCACTAAGCAATTTAAACAAAGGGTTGAGAAGGGAGAGGAATTCAATGAAGGTTGCTTATCCTACCTTGGGAGTCTTCAAGAGGAGGCAGATATTTGGCTGGGGTGATATGACCCTGGCACCCATTCCTGTCTGGGGCAGGAGGTCGGACCTGATGATCTATTTAGGTCCCTTTCGACCCTAAGCACTGTGATACTATGATACAATGATAAGAGGGCTGTTGCATGTAGAGATGATCTTGTAGATCAGTGATGCTTAGCCTCTAACTTATGGCCTGAATCTGGCCTGTGGGACTGTTGTTCAGCCCCATAGCCCTCCTGGGTCCAGGAATTTGTTGGCAGCGGAGTGGTGGCAGTTTTAATCCCAGAGCCACGACACTTAACACTGCCACCATTGCAGACCCAAGGGGCACGCTGGGCTGGATGACATGGCCCCATTTGCAGGTTGCACCGTGATTTGGCAGGTGGGGCCAGACCTGCGTGCTAAGCCCCTGCTGGATCAGGCCCACGAACCAACTTGGTCCATGGGGCTGGAGGCTTGAGCACCACCATTGTACATAGTTGTGTTTGAGTATCAGTTGATCTTTTTTTTTTTTAATTTCCCCCCTCTTACTTTTGCAGTGTATTCCTAGAAGATTTCCTTGGTGGCGGGAAAGGAGACCAGGCTCCCCAGCTGGAGTTCGAACAGCTGCCTTTTAGTCATCCCCTCTTCATCATGTATTCATCTGGTACAACAGGAGCACCTAAATGCATGGTTCATTCCGCAGGGGTAGGTATCTCCTCCTGGAGATGCAGTCTTTGTTGATAGCCAGCCACTCTTTCTTCTTTCTTAAAAGCATATTGTGGTATGGGAGGTTGTTTAATGTCATGCGAGGTGGTGGGTTGGCTTGGGGGATTTCAGCAACTGACTACAAAAATGTTCACCTCTGGCTCAGGGTTGGGGTCCCATACAGGTCAATAAGAACCCAAAGGCATGGCTGTCTGAGCCTTGTCGTGGCACCCTGTGAAGTGTCTTGGTGCATTTCCCAGTGGACAGGTGTCTGTCCTGAAAGGAAAAGCTTGCTTGGCATGGCTGATGCCCTCACTGCCAGAGAAGCCTGTAATTGGGTGAATGACCCTCAGACTTAATGACTAACTGTCAAGTATGAGGCTTGCTGGCAAAGGATGTGGAGAAGCTCATGCTATTGGGCCGGACATCTGTGACTGAAAGACTTCAAACCCCAAAGCTGCCAATCTGATCATCTGTTCTCCTTTCCCCTTTCCTTTAAAAAAAGGAAAAAAAAAGCAAAAAAGCAACCAGAATGTTAGGGGGTGGACAGATCTGCAATTTCAAAGTCAGGAATTTACCACTGTTCAGCTGAATTTACCAGCCCCTCCTGTCTTGCTGTAAGTACAAGTTTATCCCGTGTCACTCAGGGGTAAGCTGCCCTGGTTCAAGTTACCAGCGTTTAGCTTCACTTGCTGTGTGACAGGAGCAGACAGATGATGCCAGGACAATAGATTGGCTGAATCGTAATGGGCAGGACCTCTTTTCACCCTGTGTCAAACCGTGCACCTGCTAATCTGTCCATAGTCTTAGTTTCCTGGTGTAAGTTTTCGTCATATGGAGACAAAGCTTTGGGGAGCACTGTCTGAGGTCAAAGATTTAAACAATTTCAGCCCAACAAGCCTCATCTCACAATTTTTCTGAGTTTGTACTATAAAACACTTCCTTCTGCATACTAGAATGTACAGTCTTCTCTCTTGCACCCCAAATGTCTCTGTGTGAATTTTCGGAGGGACGGGTGGTGATGAACATTTCAGGGAAATGGCTACAATAATTTGTAGCCTTTTAACACCAGTAGGGTTTGATTAGGGCCCTGAGTGCGCATGTCCTCTCCTTCCCTTGGTGGGAAGGACAGGAAGACTTGTACAGAGGTGAATCCTTTGCTTCCATCCTGCTCCCAGACACCTCCTGTCCATCACCAACAGGGGATCATCCACGAGGCATCATGCTCTTCATGGGAGCTGTTTTGGGAAGGGAATCCCACTTGGGTAGCAGAAAATGGAAGAAATTCCAGAGCCGCACAGGGTTTAGAAGGCCAGGCTGGAGCAAAAGGGCCAGCGAGCTGAACAAGGGTGCATGATAAAACACTTGAGAGGTGAGACCTGCAGCTCGCAGGGAAGAGAAATCCCATTATTGTGTAGGTTTGTTCCTTCCTGATGATTATCTAGGCAGCTGCTCAGCTTGCTGGCAAGTTCTCTCCCAGCCCCAGCTGGAACTGAATCAGCCCTAAGATCCTGGTAACTCCTGCGGCCGTCTATGCCGCACCATGGGAAAGGCCAGATTGAGAATGGGATGACCAAGGTGTGCGATCACTTTCTGTGTTCCCACTGAGCTGCTCCACCACACCCTATGGGAAGTCACTACTTTTTGAGGTGGGATGACTGTTATGTGGGTTGGCCTGGTGTGTGTGGCAGGTGTGGCTGCACTAGGCCCCGGACTGGCCTGCTGCAAACATGTTTCCACTTGAATAGGGTCCAGAGCCCCCAAAACATGCATACACACAGGGTCTCACAGTGTGCACGGTTGCCAGGCTTCCATCATTTGACAGTTTGGCTCTTGGTGAAGTCAATGGCAAGACTCTTGTTGAGTTCAGCAGAGGGAGAATCAGGTCATTATTGCTTCAGCCCTGACTTACCGTGAAGTTACATTTTTTCCAGAACCCAGCCGAAGGTTAGTTGAAGTTTGGTGACTGTAATTAAAAATACAAGAGATGATGAAATGACAGCAAAAGTATATTCAATTACTGTTGATTGCAGTAGGCTTTTAATGCAGCTTGATTATCCTATTGATCTCTGCATAGACAGTGATAGAAATTTTTTTCCTTTTTTTTTTTAAATTTTAACTTTATAACTTAAATTAGCCTACAGTGCGACTTGTGTTGAATTCATGCATTTCCTCTGCATGCCTCTTGTGTCTTGTACTGAAACAACATATGTAAATAATTTAAACGAAGCCAAACCTTTGAAAAGACTTGAATTGCATTGCCTTGCAGGCAGAAGGATTTTTTTTTTTTGGCCTTTTGGAAGCAAAGGTCTGCTGTATTGCATAGTGATCCTGCAGTGAGTTGTATGAAAGAGAAATGTATGGAGGCTTTTTCCCTAATTTTTTTAAAGAAATTAATCCAGTCATTCCTATTCCTAGTCATAAAAGCATTGGCCCTCATTCTTATCTTCCTTGTGCTTATTTCATGCTTCTGTGGTTACTCCTGAATTTCCTGTAAAGGAGAGGAGACACAAGCTCTACTGATAGGTAACATGGTCCATTGGTTACCTAAGGACTTTGGAAAGCTGAGCTTAGTTCTGTACTCTGCCACAGACTGCCTTTGTGACCTTGGGCTCATCATTTTGTCCTTCTGTGCCTTAGTGCTCTGACTGTAAGTGGGAATGATCCTTCTCTACCTCACAGGGAAGTTGTGAAGATATATCCAGTGTAGGTTGTAAGGCCCGTGGATGCAGTGGTAATGGGAGTCAGATAAGTTCCTTGCATACAAAAGAGAAAGTTCCAAGCCTTCTGTCCCCAGACTCCTGCTTAAACTGAGTTTTTTTCCAGGTTCATAGTCAATGGCTGGACTCATTTAAAATGGCATTCCAGTGTCCAAGCTCTGTATTAGTAAAGTATAAACTGGAATACAAGCAAAAAAAAGCTGCGTTTGAATCAGTGGGATGTAGTCCTAATACAGATGTCTAACTAAGATGATGCTCATTTGAGATTCAATTCTTGCAAAGCCCGTACTACACTTAACGTACTCTGGGTAGTCTCAGTAAGCCTGTGAACACTATTTTTGCATGATATGGACTTGAATTCTGCTTTTAAACTCCGGGTTGATGAACACCGCATGTAGCTAGATGGCAGCATTGTGATACCTCAGGGCACGGCAGCAGTGGCAGGTAAAATCTAGTTCTGGCTCCTGTGGGAAGCTAAGGGAAAAGCAGGTTTGTTCATATATTTCAGTATTTTTTTCTTTCCACAAAGCATGCGTCATTTCTGTCACTCTTCCATTTTATTATCAGTTTTCACCTGTAATGTATTTCCTTTCCACATGCATCTTGTTTGCATGTGAAGACCCTCATAGCTTTGTCATGAGCCCTTGCAGAAATTCTTAAATCTGCCACATGACTGTCACTTGAATAAAGTGACTTAGTGAAGTAGTTTATAAATTCACTGGTCCTGAAAAGTCACTTTGTAACAGCAATCAAAAAAAAAAAAGATACTTTATCGTAGAATCATGTAAAGGAGGACTGGAAAAGGACCTTCGGAGGTTGTCTAGCCCCAGCTCTCACCAGAGGCAGGATCATCCCTATCCAAACCATTCTCTAACCTATTAGTAAAACTACACAGTCAACCCTGACACCACCACAAGGCATTACACCGCAACCTGCCACAGGTCAGGCAAGGGGACAAAGGTGGCCAGTGTCCTGCTGCTAGTCACCTTTCCTGCAAAAGAGAAGAGTGAGCAGTAGTATTTTTTTTCAGTGTACTGTCAATGTTTTCTGTAACTTGAATGCTTTGGAGGATATGTAGGTAGTTATGTCTGCAATCCCCAAAGCGTTTAAGTATGAAACGGTTTGAATCATCAAGGTGACCTAGTCAAAAAATGTTAATCCGCTGCCCATGATGACTAGGTTCAGAAGAGCTTTGGGTCTCGTGTACTGTCACATTTGAAACGCTCAGTAAGGCTTGGGGAAAGCGACTGGCAGAACCGCAGAGACAGATTTATAGACAAGCCCTAATGAGCTCTGCAAGGGAATGCACAACCCTGCGGGCTGATGATGGAAAGGCAATGAAGTTCTTGAAGGAAGCTACCTGTGCCTTTTGTTTCAGGTTAGGCACAGGAATTACTGAGGTCTAGAGAGCGGGGATGAAAAGTTATATGCAAGGGGAATGGAGAACACTGTCCAACCTGGTGTACTGACGGGGACAGGTATTGCCTGCTTTGGTGTGCTCTATTTTGCGAAGGGACAGGATTCAATATCTGTTTGTAATCATGAAATACGGTCTGGTGTGTGCGTGCCACATTTGATTTAGGAAAGCATATTTTGCCACCATATCTTTTGCTTTGCATTTACATAAATTCCTTCCTTCACTCTTATTTTCAGGGCACACTAATTCAGCACCTGAAGGAGCATATTCTTCATGGCAACATGACCAGCAACGATGTCATTATGTACTATACAACGGCAAGTGTGGATTATTAAGACATCTATAAACTTGATCTCTGTGTTGTATTTTTTTTAATGAATCTTAAGAGTGGTAATAGTTCCCACGAGACTTCAAATATAGTTCCACATATTTTTAATTCATGTTATCTAAGGGAGGGTTGTGTGCTTCAGTAGCTTTTTGTTTTCAGCGATATTAGAAATCAGGTGAAGTAGTAAAATGTAATTGGGTGTTTTCTGATGAAATTTTAAACATGTATTTCAGGTGTAATTGGAGAAAAACTGGCTCTTGCTGCCTCTTGGGGTTCTTACTGTAAATGTCCCATTGGTCCATTTCCATAGCATATTCTGCCTTCTTGTACCATGTAGGGATCTGGACATGTGGTGATAAAAGAACGATCACTTTATACCTCCTCTCCCTCCCTGCTTCCTCTAAAACATCCGATATTGGTCACGGTTGGAGACTTGTTATTTTGCGAGTTGGATTACTGATTTGATTCAGCCTAGAAACTCGTGTGTTCCAAGTTCCTGATGTTTTTAATACTAATACTGTACAAAGTGAGGAAAAAACAAGCTGCTATTTTGTGACGTGTTAGAGAAGTGGTTCCCAGTCCGCTGTGCTGGGGATTTTACAAATATTTTTTAAGTGAATATCATACTACAGGGTGACACACTGTAAAAGAGAAGCATAAATTGATTTTTGCTAGGGTTTATTTGCATGGCTTTGGTGCAGAACCGAGGAAGAAGAGATTCTCTACTAATATACGTGATAGAGTGGGAGTGTTTTTTTCTTTGCCAGTCTGTCTTTTCCCCGTTGGTTCCCTGTAGGATCTTACGGTTCTGTTAATCAGCCTACAGTGGGTCTATTGGGGTGCGTGGTTATTTTTACCTCCTCCTCCCCAAGTGTCAGCTGAGACCACAGACACACACACAGACAGACACACACACACATAGACACACACGTGTGGGAATAGGAATGGAATAAATCCTTCTCTCAGTCCTGCATAGAAATGCCTACAGACAGCATCGGCTGGAGTCGTTCAGAGTTCTCTAAACTTTCATTGAGAAATGTTGTCAGGTTATCAGATAGACATGTAATAGGGCTCACTGTAAAGGAGCTTGGAGCATCATTTAACACACTCGGGATCCTATCAGTTATGTCAGAAATGGCATTTTAGTTGGTTCCTAAAAATTGCATTTCCCTGTGAAGTATTTTGGGTGAAATACTAGGACAGGTGCCAACTAAAAAAACCCAAACATACATACATATATATATATATACACATACATATACACACACACACACACACACACACACACACACACACACACACACACACACATAAACATATAATATATAATATACATATATATATATATGTGTGTGTGAATGCTGCTGCATAAATAAAGTTGCACTGTATTTTTGGTCTGTAATTAGCAGGTAATTTTTATACCTTGCAATTACTGTAATTTGAGATAAGTATGCACTCTCCACTTAAGGTGGAGTCTCCATCTCTTGACATCTTCAAATCGGGACTGGATGTCTTTCTGGTAGACATGCTTTAGTGAAACACAGGCTACTGAATTCAATATAGGAGCGTCTGGCTGGAATTGTATGCCCTGCGTTTATACAGGAAGTCAGACTAAATGACTTACTGGTCTTTTCTAGCCTTAATCTATTTATATCATTGAGGATCTTTTTTGTTAGTATACAACCAGCCGGTCCTGCAGTAAGTGTGTGTGTTTTTTTTCCCCCCTCTAACTTAGAGACAGGAGCAGGACACTGAAAGCAGGGTCTGGTTTCTGATTCAGGCAACTCACTTCCATGGAATTACTTGGGACCTACAGCAATGTTAATTGAACTTGGGACCTAGTTGCAAGGTTATGTCTTTGGTTGCAAATGAACTTGAGGCCAGGGCTTTCTCACATGAAGTGAAGGCTGAATTCACAGATCAGGAGATTGCTGGGAGGGATGGCTGCCTATGTAACCCCACAGAGACCTAAGCTAACACAGCTGCCTTCTCTGTTACAGACTGGCTGGATGATGTGGAATTGGGTGGTATCTGCACTTGCTACAGGAGCATCAGTGGTCTTATATGATGGATCTCCTCTCGTCCCATCACCAAATGTGCTTTGGGACTTGGTTGACCGACTTGGGTAGGTAAAGAAGATGTTAAAGTGAATGATCAAACTTCTTTCACTTTGAGCTCTGGAAGTCCACTGTATGCACTCATTTCTCTGTTACAGTGACCCCGTAAAAGCACCTTCATTGAAGATGCCATCCTTTGAGTCTGAAGGCAGCATGTAGGATGTCATAGTTTTGCCTTTTGGCTTAACCTAGAATAAACCACTTATTTACATTTAAGACTGAAATGGTTTCTTAGAGGGACTGGAAGAGACAAAAGCCTAACTGTTTCAAAATGGATTTAGGCATTCAGATTCCCAGCAAACAAAGAATTTCAGTTCAATAGTCAGTTTTCAAGTGTTGCCTTTTGAAAAGGCAGTAATTGGGTGCAATCAAAGAGTAATTTCTCACTACACTCAGAACTTATGAAATAAGAATCCTTTATTTCAGGCAGCTCAACATAAAACTGAATGCGGTGCTTGATTTAAAAGCCATAAATTGACTGGAAAGGCACAGCAGGGCTTCTTGTATTTTCATACTTTGCTTTCTCACCTATAATACCTCACTCTGTCAGGCAATTCATTAATTGGCCTGTGTATCTGTTTGTGAGAAATGAGGGGTATGGTGCCCTCTCTTGGTGCATAAAGAAACATCAGGACTTTAAATCTGAATCCTTGAGTGATATTTTATTTGCAAACTAGGCTGGGCATTGATGTTACAACGCTGGCGTTCTGCAGGCTGGATGCCATATGGAAGACCTGCAAATATCCACTAGTTAAATAACTGGCATTTTAAAAATTATTTGATGCTCTATTTTAATCCATTTGTGGTGGAAAGTGGATACAGAAAAATTCATTTGATGGCTATTGCCATTTAGTAATTTAAAATGCAATCTTCCCTTTCATGCTATATAATATTTAAATGCTGACATTTTGGCTCTGGCTAGTATGATTAAAGGTTACAGCCAAGCAAGATTGTTTAGAAGGAAAGGTTAATAAAATCCAGTGAGACTTAGAAAGGATGCATGAACAGAGCCTAATGGGCAAAGATGTAGATGCTAGAAATGAAAGACAACGTTGATTTTTGAGCACCATCCATGTATGCCAAAAGCAAGGGAAAGCCACTCTAGTGTGGATGCAGGTCTTAATTTTTTTTTGCAATCTAGTGTTGGCCATCTGTGTCCTACCGTTCTTCTAATGCAGTCTGTTACTGAATATCATTCTTATGTTATATTCCCATCTACAAAAAAAGCTGCAGCATGTTTGGATTATCTTGCTGCTTTGATGAAGGCACAATATGCTCTACATAACTGAGATGGCATGTTTACTACAGTATCTCCCAGTTAATTGGTTGCCCTAGTGATAGTCAATAACTATAATAATTTCTTGATTGGGACCTGCCTGGCAAAGATGCTGCTCAGTTGGACTATATTTAGCCTCTACCAAGGGATTAAGTGGTGGTTTAATTAGCATTAAATACAGATAGAAAGAAAGCGCTAATCTCCAGGTTTCTAAAAGAGGAAACATCAATTAAAAAAACAAAACAAGAAAGACAAAAAGGAAAGGGGAGCACTGACTAGTCCTGCTACATGATAAGAAATGGCTTGAAGGACAAGAGGCAAGTGCACACGGCTAAAAATAGCTGAGATGACTGCAGTGAGCTTCTGTTGAACAACCAGTTTATGTCCCTGGGCTATCTTAGCGCTCTTGTCCCAGGAGATGGTCTCTGTGTCTGACAGTTGTTTCATGCGCTGGAATATCTGTGCCAACAGGTTGTCACTGCTTAAGAAACGGCAACCTCAGAGGTGCCCTTCAGGCGTGTAGCTGCAGAGGGAGAAAACTCCCCCTCTGAAAAGAGTTCGTTCTGTATTGCTGAAACAGTGACCTCTGCCTGCAGCCCCTGACATCCTACCACCATTTCAGCAGCTGCTGTCTCCTCCACCTTGGAGTGTCTTGGTGGTGTTAGCAGCTCGTCAGTGGTTCCCATCTATCAGTTTTAATGCTAGTAATATTAGGCATTTGTAAATACGTTTGTGCTGCACTACTGGGCACTTTTAAAAGTGCCTGGCGCTGTGGCACATGCATTTGTACAAATGGTGAAATGCGTGTCACTGCTGAGAAAATGGCTGTGGCGCGCTTTTGAACTAAAACACATCAAAGGTGTTTTAGTTCAAAAGTTCACCACTGCCATTTTCTCAGTGCTGACATGCATTTTGCCATTTATACAAATGTATGCGATGCAGCACTGGGCGCATCAGCTTGCATGCAGAGCAGACTCGATTAATCTAGTCTGCTCCAAAGCACCGGATCTCCGGCGCTTTGGAGCAGACAAATGTACAGGTTTCCCTTGCTCTGTGCGGGTTCTGTATGTGCAAATTTGCTCTTATGTGATGACCCTTTTTATACCAAAAATTGGTTCTATGCGCAGTAAATTCACTCTTACGCGATTTGTGTGCTGGAAGCCCGCAGTCAGCTGCTTTGTGCGGTGCATTGTGGGAGTGATGCGCACTAAAATATAGTCTCCTGCGTAGATCTGTGCTCCTCACTCGTTGTCTGCGACACACATTTCTGTAGTTGCCATCCCCATATGGCTTCTAAGCGTCCCAGTAGTTTATCTCCTACCCTTCTCCCTGGTCCATTAATGAAGCCTTTCCCATCCTCTCTTCACCCCAGCTAAACATTCACCACTATCCTGTGCTTGTGTGCACTGCCTGCTGTTGGTGAGTACCAAAATCGTCTTGTAAAAGTGGTAGAAAAGGATCTGGGGGTCAGTACAGTCGAGGTCTTGGAAGGTATCCCTATTTGTTACGTTGTAAAGTGGGTTCCCTTTATGCAAATTCGAGTTATGCCCCATTTTCCAGGAACGCATGTATAGCATAAAGCGAGGGAAACCTGTGCATGTATACATGCCCATTGAAGGTATCTTTTATTCCCTCTGCTAATTGTCACATGTTTTCCTGTACACTTCTAATTCTATAAAGCATTGTATATAAATAACAATAAAGTTAGTACTTCTCGGGATTTCCTCAAGTGAGTTTATTTTTACTATACGAGCCGGCAGAAACCACTTGGACATTCCTCATGTGGGAATATGATTTGGTGAAGAAGGTTAATGTATAGATCTGATTGACGCTCCGGCAGTAGAAGGTGCTAAGGGGGCAGGGAGGTTCATTTTAGGTTTCAGGTGATGTGTGAGAACACTTTTCCCCCCCTGCTCTGCTTTCTCCTCTTGTTAAGAGCATTGAAAATGAGTTATATGCAGTCATTTAAAATTCTGTTGTTTCCCGGTTAGATTAATGGCACTTCAAAACTCATATATTAAAACAGTAGGCAAATAAAGCTCTGGAAATTCTGTTTCAGCCTCAGTGATATTCTAACTAATGTAGATAAATGTAGGTATTAAGCCTCATTGATTACTGTGGATAATTTAACTTTTTTTCAAACTGGAAAACAAGCACAGTTCTTTTTCCAAAGGATTTCTTGTCTCACCGCTGTTGTTTTTGAGAGCGTACGTGGTTGTATTGCGTAGTTGCTGGTTTGGGGAGGAGGATGGAGCCCAAAGTCTTGAGTTGTGTTTCCAGCAGAGATTTTGGATCTGGCTGTGACCTCGCGTAGGTCCTGCCAGCTCTCTCTGCCTCAATACCAGGGCATTATAGGACTGTATGAGATGGGGCAAGGCCGAATTGAGGTCCAGTAATGGCTGATGTTTGCATGATATGGAAGGGGCAAAGCCGTTTCCTGCCAGAGTGAGGCTAATCATCGCTGCAGTCACTACGCTCGGAGGACCAAACAGATTTCTCCCCACGTGCATTTGCCTATCAGTGCAGGTGTTTGGGCCCTTGTAGAAGGCAGCCATCCATTTTAGCTCTGAGCTGCTTGTAACAACTCAATTATTTAACGCTCAGGCTGTTGCTAATACCCGAGGCATTTTGCACGCTGTTCTGCTGGGTTCCAAAATGAAAAAAGTTCTGTTCCTAATACTTGTGATGCTTTGTCAAACGTGCAAGACAGACAGCATTCTCTAGCTATCCATTTTCTTTATTTATTGCATTAATTGAAATATTTATTTTGCTCTCTGCCTTCTGTGTTGGTGTGAATACATTGCTTCATGGGACTAGTAATTGCTGTAGAGTGATTGCCTTGTCACAAAGATCGTTGATTTGCAACTGGTTGAAGGAATGACTTGCTCAGATTTTTGGATGCTGAAGATGATGTCTCGACCTTAACTCTTTCAGCAGCTGGTGTGGTATCAAACCGCCTGTTTTGGGTTTTTTTTGAGAAGCCAAAAGGAGCTGAACCAGAAGTTCCTCCTTATGGAAGGGGAAACTTTAATCTCTGCAGAATACTCTTGATCAACGTATCCCCCTCTAGAACGGCTCCTTAGTGTTCGCTTGACCAGGTATCCAGGCCGAGTCGTATCCGATGTGCACCCTATATTAAGGTATTAGCTCTCTGCTAAACAGAGCAGTGGCAATTATCGTCAATTAATGAATTAAATGTTGTTAGTGTCCCTAATGGATTTGGAGTGCTCTGCAGTTTATGCGTTCCTGGATTTGTAAGTGAATATTCTCTGCTACCTGGGAAGGCTTAGCTTATGATATTTAAAATGGGAATTAAAAGTTTCAAGGCTATAAACATTTCTCCAGTGACCTGACTACTTTTCATTCCCCCAAAAAAGCGTGCCTTGAATTTCAAAGCTGGAAGTGGCTACATTTCCTGGCTGATCAATGTGCAGAGTGCTTGCAACTTCTGCTTGCATTTCTGGGAATTGCAGGTCTTCGGCACCTCAGAGGATGGTATTTAAATAGGCAAAGTAGCTGAAAAATTCTCCTCTTTTTTTCTTTTTCCCTCTAGGATCACCATCCTTGGAACAGGCGCCAAGTGGCTGGCTGTGCTAGAAGAGAAAAATTTAAAACCATGTAAGCTTCAAATGCCTATTGATTTTTTTTTTTTCTTTTTCTGGTTCTGTATCCTGTCCACGTACAGCAAATTGACTGTTATGTTTGTGATTTCTTGAATCTAAGTGTTGAATAGATAAGGTGATATGATTTAAAAACCTTGTCATTTTTATTTATGTATTTATTTTGGTTTTCTTCTTTTTTTTAAGGTGAAACCCATAATCTTCAAACACTCCACACTATACTATCTACAGGGTCGCCACTGAAATCTCAAAGCTACGAGTATGTCTACAAGCACATAAAGAGCAGTGTGCTCCTGGGATCCATTTCAGGTGATGCTTTACTCTGCAAACCTATTCCATTTGCTAATCCCTTCTGCAGCTTGTGCATTTCTTGCTTACTTTCAGGAGAGGAAAACCGAGCCTTGGAGCGGTCAGCCTTGGTTTTGGTTGAACCACAACTAGCTGTGGCTTTTGCAGGGTTTTCTTGCATAATTCAGCATGCCTTTATATTAGTATTATGAAGCTGGTGTGCTTAATAACTTGGAGGTGGCATGATTCTGATGTAAGGGAGCAGGATCACTTATTTGTAGGGGATGTCCCTAGGGGCAGCAGGGCAAGAGAAGGCAAAGAGTCTGTTAACCTACAGTACACACTATTCTGTAAACAGCTGATTTCAGCAGGAACTGCTTCTTGAGGAGATGTCACCTGGTTTCTGTTTCATTTACTGTGGGGCAGTTAATTAAGACTCCTGACACATCACTCTGTAAATGATCTAGTTAAGAGTGGAGATGCATCAGGTCATGTGCGGCACGGTGCAATGCGGCTCGGTGGGAGGAGAGCTTACCTAGGCAACATCCGTTTTATTTGTGGGGCATCACATTTCTGCCCTGCTAAACTAAACTAAGACTCAGCTTAGTTTAGACATCAGATTTGGAGCCTGAACCTCCTGCTGCTGCCGTTTGTGGGAGCTCTGCCTCTGGCTTCAGTGGGGGAGCAAGTCTGGGTATTATGGTGACTCGTGAAACACTAATAGTTTCTGACACAGAGAAATGTTTCACATGTGTAAAAATGGCAGGATTGGGCTTTATGCCTTGTGACTTCCTCTTTCAACCCTGATATGCATAGGAGTATTCTGATTTTTGCAAAATTAGAATAGAATTTTGGCAAAATGCTTTTTAATTTCATTGGGTGAATCTGCTATCTTTTATTAGACCAACTTAAATAGTTGGGAAACAATTATTAAAATAGTTAAATTATTAAAATAGTAAAACAATTAAAATAGTTTTCCAACTATTTAAGTTGGTCTAATAAAAGATAGCAGATTCACCCAAAGAACCTTGCCTGCCTATGTCCTTAGACCAACACGGCTACAACCTACACCACTTTTAATTTCATTAGGATTTAAACCTCCCCATTCTGTGCAGGGAGCCCAAACACAACAGCAGTTTTGTTAATGCACTAGAAGAGGGGTCAGCAACCTGTGGATCCAGCCTGCAAAGAGAATTTACCTGACCTGCCAAACATGGAGGTTTATAGATCATTCATTAGATGAATGGTGAGAACAAGACATCTAGCGGCAGAATATCTAACTGCCACCTCTGGTCTACCTTAGGACCAAGCTGTGTTAATTTGGCCTGCCCTTAGTGAAAAGTTGCCAACCTCTTGATCTGCAAATTAGGTGTTAGCTCATGGAGTTTATGAAATTATTCTTGTGTAAAAGTAGCGAGAGGAGAAAACCCAAGTCCTAAGCCCTGTGCATAGGTACATATGCTTTAATAAAACCCTGTCTGGCTTTCGGCATCAAAAGTGACAGAGAAATGCCGGATCATCCAGGCAGCGTGTTCTAGATTTTATTACTTAGCATGAACAGAACACATTCGGTATTACGTGTTGATCTCCTACCCTCCCTCCCAGTTCATGCGTGGACTTTATTTGAACCTTTGAAAAAAAGCACTTTACTTGTGCATGCATTCTAAGCGTCTTTCCTTCGCTGCAGGTGGAACAGATATAGTTTCCTGTTTCATGGGCCAGAATGTTTCGATTCCAGTTTACAAAGGAGAGATTCAGGCTAGAAATCTTGGCATGGCAGTGGAAGCCTGGAATGATGAAGGTAACTGATCCAGGAAACTCAGTAAGAACTGAAAGGTAACAGCTGTGGGAATTTGGCTGGTGCTTTATGAGACTGATAACTGGTACTGTCTCTTCATTGCTACTTCATCTTTAATCCTGCCTGTACCCAGAATGGCCAAAAGTTGCAAACATCTATTGGCTATTACAAAGCCAGCTTGAAACGTGTTGGGGATTTCAGTCTAATTCCACAGTGGTGCCCAGTAATGACTGTGGATTTTGCGATGTGGAAACTTGTCCAACAATTGCTGGAGTAGGGAGTCTTAAGTGAAGAGAGCTTGTGGGTAAAAACTCTGTCACTACTGACCTTCCTTGTCTCTCACTTTGGGAAAGTGGTTTGTTTGCGGGTTTTTTTTTTTTGCTAACCTCCAAACCCTTCCATCGTTATTTATATTTACTAATTAAACTCTATTTTAGACACTGGGCTAAATTCATGTGTGTTGCAACTCCGCTGAAGTTAATGAAACCAAATTTAGGATGAATGTGACCTGTTGCATGGCTTTCTGAACCAGCAGTCATATCTAGCCAGGTTTCTATACAAGTTCCAATGCAGCTGGATTTTTATGCATAAAGAATAATGGTCTTTTCTTTGCTTTGATGCTCTGTGGTTCACAGAAGAGAGATACTAAACATATCTCTTGATTTGATTTGTAAATAGGGAAACCAGTTTGGGGAGAAAGTGGCGAGCTGGTTTGCACCAAGCCTATTCCTTGTCAACCCACCCACTTCTGGAATGATGAGAATGGAAACAAATACAGGAAAGCTTATTTTTCAAAATTCCCAGGTAAGTCATGGAAAACACCGGGCATTATTTGAACTAGTTATAGAAGTGGTGGGTCATTTACAAACCTGGAAATTCACAAACCTGCTCTTTCCCACTGCCGAACAGCTGTAGCTGTGTATCTGGATTTGCTAGGATGAGAATTGTAAGGAGTGTTTGATAAATCTTCTGCTGTTTGTTCCCTGACACACAGGTTTGAATTGCAGTCCAGGTTGGTTTAATTAAAATCCCTGGAAAGCTCCAGCTTTGGTGTCAGTCTGCTTTGTTGTCAGTAGGCAGCTATGGCTGTAGCAGCCAATGGTCCTGCACTGCACAGGTGTGGAGTACTCGGCATGGAGGCAAGGCAGGGAGTGATGAATAGGTTGGGGAGCAGTCCTGCATTAATGAAAGTGTTGCTGCACTGATGCCAGACAGTTCCTACCTAGCAGAAGGAGAGAGTCTCAAGAGATAAGTGCTGGCCTGGTTCCCCGGTAGTGTGGGGACTGGGTTTAAGCTGGTGTCTTGTTGGATATGCACATCCCCACTCTCACACATCTCTGTGTTGATAGGAGTCAAGGAGCTGGTGTGCTCTGGGCTAGAGACTTATTCGTGGTCATCATTAGGGACTCTGCCCACCCCTTCCTTCTGCTCCTGCTAGCACTGGAGTGCAGCAACTCAGTATTCACTGCTGCCCAGCAGACGAAGACTTGGGGGAGCAAAGCCTCACACATCCTTTTCTTCTCAGAGAGGGATGGGGCTTTATTTGCAAAATGCTGCATCACCAAGCTGTACTAGGAGGGTTACTAGGAAGAGAGTGGTGAAGTGAGACGCTATGTGCTGCATCAGGAGACTGTGATCTGATTAAAAAGGCTTGATGTCCTTGGTGTTTAGTTGGGGGTTTTTTGAGTGGTACTTTTTTAATGTCCCATTCCTTACGCTCTGCCTCCACTGTCAGAAAAAATGGGAAACTCTTGCTTGGCATTCAGAATCTCAGCAATCCTCCTGTCCCACATGTATACCAAGTGGGTAGTTTCTTTGTTTGGGTGGGAAGAGAATTGATTTTGACATCAAATCATGTAGCAAGAGCCCATGCACTTGTAATTCTACTATAAATC